GCCCAGCCTCGCTGGCCTCAGCCGAGCCGCGGCGCCGCCGCCATGAGCTCGCGGCAGCCGGACGCTCCCGGTAAGCTCCCCCCCCACCCCCAGCGCTCCCCGCCGGCCCGGGTAGGCCGCGGCGGCGCTGAGCTCTGCCCTCTCCGTTCGCAGCGCTGGAGCAGGGCGGCGGGGCCCGCCCGGCCAAGATGTCGCTGCCCATCGGCGTGCCGCGGAGGGCCTTCAGCTACGACGACGCCCTGGAGGACACGGCGCCCATGACGCCGCCGCCCGCCGACCTGTGCGCCAACGTCCTGTGGAAGCAGCCGGTCATCCCCGAGCGCAAGTACCAGGAGCTCTCGAAGGTAGGGGCCGGCCGGTTGCTGCCGTGGCCCCGGCCCAGGCCCGGGCCGCGCCTCCCGTGTGCCCCTGCGGCCCTCCTGCCTGGCTGGTGCACGGCACCGGGTGAGCTGCCCTCCGCAGCGGAGACCGGCTGGGCCGCGGGAGGTGCTGGGGACAAGAGACCGGCTTTGCTGCGGTGGGAGCACCGGAGTGTGGTTGGGATGGGGGCGTTCTGGGGGTCTCCTCGCTTATGGGAGGCGTTTGTGGGTAAAAAAAGGTGCAAGCTGTAACCAGGTGTAATTAAACTAGTGCAAAAGGGTAGATTTAGGCTGGGTGTAAATTCTTTACCGTAAGGGTGGTGAGGCGCTGGAACAGGTTGCCTGGAGATGCTGTGGATGCCCTATCCCTGGAAGTGTTCAGTGTCAGGTGGGACAAAGCTTTGAGCAACCTGATCTAGTGAAAGATGTCCCTGCCTGCAACCTGGGGGCTGGACTAGATGGTCGTTGAAGGTCTCTTCCAACCCAGACTGTTCTATGAAATGACTGTGGGGATGCTTTGAGTGCAGGATGAGCTCTTTTTAAATTTAGAGCCTGTTTTCTAAGTTTGAAGTGAAGATAAATGTTGTTAAATGGAAGTAAATAACCTTGCATCCCTTTGAGCTTAACTTGTCCTTTTCACTTCATTTTGTTTTAAAATCTTTCTTGTGGAAGAAAATCTGAAGGTGTGGTTTGGCACAAAAAGCAAAATGTCCAGTCAGGGAATAGTAACTCATGTGTTAAGAGGAGAAAGTCTGTTTTTCACAAGATTTCTTGTTTTCTAGCATTCGTTGTCTGGTTCTTGGGCTGCGAGGGTCTCATGATCAGTGGTAGAGCTATGACCACTAGATACACTGAGCAAGAAACTGATATAAGGAATGAGGAGGGGAAAACAAGATCTAAACGCTAGCCTCTAATCTGTGTGACTGCTGTTCTGTAAATAGTTTGTGTTTCTGAGCTGTCTGTGCAAGGGTACTCTTGCCCAATTGACCTTGAAGTCCAGTTTGCAGTTATGAGAATGGGAGTAGATATGTTCAGGTTTCCTTCCTTTTGGCCTTTTTGTACTTAGACTAACAACTTGTTGGCTCTGAGCCTAGTAAGTTTGCGAATGGTGGATGCAAGTTGCTTGTTCATTGCTAAGAATTATAAGGTTCAAGCTCTAAATATTCCTGGGCTGTAGTGAGAACAGCATGTGGGTTTCTTCCATGGAATGGAAGCAGCCTAACTGTTAGAGCAGCTTGGCCTTGTGTATCATTTGGGTAGTTAGAGATGTTTCCTGGCAAGGTGCTGAATTACTTTCTCATTTTAAACTGTACCCTGCTTCTTCCCCACAGATTGAGGAAGGGGATGCTAACATGAATGCACCTGTCATAACTCCTTCATCGTCCACTGAAAGTGTGAACAAGGTACCTGTGGTGAAGGCCAAGGCCACTCACATCATCATGAACTCTCTCATTACAAGTAAGCACTCTCACCTCTAATGTAGTGGCTAATGGTGTGTGGGCACATGAGCATGTTCTGGCTTGGCAATGCCTCAAGGTAACTACCAGAGTTCCTGGACAGCTTATGGGTTCAGACTGACTCTGCTCTTGAGCTGTATGAAGTTTTTTTGGAGGATGCTTCTAGAAGGAAGCAAGGAACTAGGGTATAGGCCACATTTACTGCCTCTGTGTTTCCAGGTGCTGGAGGTGGGTGATGAGGGAGGAGTGCAGCGTACATTATCTGCTTGCTGATAGGACACTGCAGTCCATGCCACCTTGTTGATGGAGTGCAGAGGCAGCTGCTGCTACTCTTATTAATTTGCTATTTCTGAATGATGGGTAAATCTCTAAAATTAACCAAAGCGGTGTGGAGAGCTGACATACTGTGCTAAGGGAGCAGTTGATGGCATTTATGTTAGTTAATAGTAGCAGCAGCTGTCTTGCTAACTAACATTTACTTTAGAAAAAAACCCAAACCTCATAAATCATGATACTTTAAAATCAAATTGGGTCAATTATGTTTGCAGAGAAGACATGCCCATTTACAACAAGAGGAATTATTGTTGTGTTAATCTGTCCATGCTGCCTCCTCTTTTAGCTGCTGGGATCTGAGCTTCATCTTTTCCTCCAAGCAGTGCTTCCAAAGGCTTCTAGATCTTCAGACCAGCATTGTGGAATAGCTATACATTTACACTTATTTCAGTCTTGGCTCAAAAATAACCAACACATCAGAAAATAACGTCAGGAATATGGACTTTCTTTTGGAAAGCAGTTCCTGTTCTAGTCTGATGATAAAATGCTAACCTAGTTAAAACCATGATGTCCTCAAAATGTTCTTGTGCAGTAAGAAGTCAGGAGCCCCAACCTACACCTGCTAGGAAGAACATTCAGTCACAAGTTGGAAATAGACAAAGGTCCTCTAGATTTCTCTACATACAGTGCACTATCCCTGCAAATCACCTTAGCATTAATGTGGAAAGTGTTATCTGTTTTAAAGATGATATTGGGGTTTTCCCAGTATCTTTCTGTGCTCTAATTCCTTTTGACTTTTTTCTTAGTTCCACTAGGGAGGGAGCATCTTGTGCTGGTAGTGTGTGGGGTGAAGTGCTTATATTTTTCAGAACTGAAGTTGATATCAGTGTATTAGATGCTGGCTCTGTATTTGGCTGAAATAGCTTATTTTACCTAATCTAGAATCACTGGGAATCTTTACCACCTGTTCTGCAAGGCTGTGATTGTCAGATTAGCTAGTGTGGGCAGTCCTTCAGAAGACTTCATTTTTTGTTGGCCAAAAAAACTCCCTTGAATCTAGAGGGCCACTTAAAATGTCCAGCTTATTGTGGTCTCCTAGATCTAGGAGGTTGTAATTAGGAGTGATGCAGCTTCTTGGGCATGATGGGTTTAATTATAGGTGTTACATTTGTAATACATCTGGTGATTTGGGACAAATCACTGCTCATCTGACTCAGGACAGTTTTCATGTCAGAGTATCTCCTTAGCTTCATCTTGCTGCCTCTGCCTACTCATCACAACATGTAGGTATGAATGATGAAAAGCATCTTGCATTTGGTTGCTTAAGTTGCCTTTGTTTGCTAGAACTGCTTGTGGTGGCATTTCTGTGAGAATATGTGCTTGTCCATTCCAGAGCAGACTCAGGAGAGCATTCAGCGCTTTGAGCAACAGGCTGGGCTGAGAGATGCTGGCTACACTCCCCACAAAGGCCTCACTACTGAGGAGACCAAGTATCACCGAGTGGCTGAGGCAGTCCACGTAAGGCTTGTTTTGCATTGGCTTTCTCTGTGTAGACTGTGTACTAGCTTAACACCTATCTGGTGACATAACTTTTGGAGCATGTTGCCAGGACTCTCCTTAAACTGCTGCTTCTGAAGGCTTTTAGATCATTGCGTGAAAAAGGTTACACACTGCTATTGTAAAGTTAGTGTTAGCCTTTGTAGTTTTTAAACAAAGTTTTTTCTGAAATCTGTCATATTCCACAGTCATGTCAGACTATCACAGTCATCTTTCCAAGTGGGGACATCCCTACACAGAATCTAGTTTCTTGCTGTACCTTTGAATGGTGCCCTCTAGTTGACCATTGTAACTGTTTGTCCCAAGAGAACTTGCAAACTGTGCATTTCTGATGTGGAAGTTAGCAGATGAAATTGGGCTTGCCTCTCACTGGAAATAAAGAGAAAGGTCTTGAATCAACATGTTTCTGATCAGCTCAGTTGCCCACAGTAATCTTGCAGTTGGAGTTTAATAGTGGACTCTTCAAGTGTAGTCCCACAAGGTCAAAGTTTCAGTAACAGTGTTGGTGAATTGCATTAGTGTGGCTTGGATAGCCACAGGAAACATTGAGATGCCTGTGTAGTTGGTGTTTGAACTGTAACTGCCCTTCAAGTGACTTCAAAGTTCAGTTTGTACTGTCTGACTTGTAATAAACTGGTTCACATACACCCAGTTCCTGTTTATTTTATGACCAGGCGTACTCTTCAAATGCAGTTCATCTCGGTGTTCTAGGGCAGTGTTTCCATCCTGTTGTATGTGGATTACTTCTCAGGGTCTAGTACTCTTAGACCTTGTACCTTCTGTATGAAGTCTGGTCTCACCTTCATTAGAGAACTTGTGGGACTGAAAGCTTTGCTCTGAAAAGTGCTGGAGACAAATGGTTGCTGTGGCATTTAGACTTGTCACCAGGTAGCTGAACTGATGTGTAAGCTAGCTCTGCTACATCTGCAACCTCCCTATGAATGCTGGTATTAAAGCAGTGCATTACTGCTGGGTAGTGACTCTGAATTGCAGAGTGAGCTGTAGGTGTTATTTTACTTTGTCTAGCCTGGATGATATCTTGAGCATAGTGGACTTCCAAAATGCTTATATCTGATGTGCAAAGAAGCTTAAGGGGTGTATGCAAGTATTGTAATGCTGGGTTTAGCTGTAGGTGAAGTGACACTTAAATCCTTTATCACCTGTGATATAAACAATTGCCCAGTTTTGACAATAAAACTGGCTGTTCCTTATGTCTTGCATTTAACCTCTGTTGCTTCTGTGTTTCTCTTGCCTCTTCTAACAGAAGCTAAAAATGCAGAGTGGAGAGATGACAAAAGATGACAAACAGACTTCTTCTGCTCAGTCCACTCCAAGCAGCACTCCCCACTCCTCTCCCAAGCATAAAACCAGGTACTCTGTTCCTGGTAGACCACTGCCTCCTTTGGTTTCCTACAGGCTGCTGAGGTGGGAGCTGCTACAAATAACCTTCTTATCCAGTGAGGCACTAAGGGGTGAAATTCAGAGCCTGCTGTGGATTTGTGTTGGGTAGATCCAAATGTTGAAAGCTTGTGGAACTTGAGCATATGTATCTTCATCCTGGGTGGTAACAAACCTGTTATGATTGTTTAAATTGCCCCTGATAACTACATGTGAAGTTCCTGGCACAGTGGGGCCACTTGAAATATTTATTCTCATGTTTTATACATCTCAGTGATTTTTCCCTAGGGGTTGGTTTAGTCAGGGATCCTCTACTTCTATTACTGGCCCGGACTTTGCCGTGGAAGCTGGTGGGGACAAATTGCCATCTGAAAGATGGAGCTTTTTTGGGCCCAAAGCCATCCAGAAATTCACCAATGATCCAGGTATGTCCTCTAAAATCTCCTGCCCTGCAATACCTAGGGGAGAACTGTCACACAGCAAACTTGCTAGCTATTTCTGGAGCCTTATCCTGCTTGCCTTGTTACTTTCTAGGACCACCTTGTGAATGTGTGCTATTCATGTAATTTCTGTGCCTAAATATAAAGTAGTTGGGTAAAACCTATGCCAAGGATCTGAAAGTAGAAATAACTTGCACTGAGCTGCAGTGGAAGGGCAGGATGTGAAGGTGACAGCTTTTTACTCTTTCTCTGCTGTCTGGTGGAACCAGAACTGGAATTAAGCAGCCACTGATGTGGAATAGGCTTTAGATGATGTGAAGCTGCTGGGTCTTGCATAGGCTTTCTGCAGTGTTGGGCATCAGTGACACTGCTCACTGCTGGCAGTAGTGGAGAAAGGACTTGGCTAGTTTTTCTACCTCTTACTGGTTGTGTGGTTTGTTTTTTTTTTTTTCAATCAGGAGGATTTACCATCCAATCCTATAAGGGTGCCCAGAAGCCATCCCCAATGGAGTTGATGCGTGCTCAGGCTACTAGGATGCCAGAAGATCCAGTCACCTTCAAGCCACCCAAAATGGACATTCCAGTCACAGAAGGGAGGAAGCAGTCTCAACGTTCCCATAATATCAAACCTCGAGATCTGAACGTGCTCACTCCTACTGGGTTCTAGGAAGAATGCTTCTGGTGTCTTTAGCGGGCTCTGCTTCCCTGTCCCATTGTGCTGCAGTAAAATAAGAAAGTCTCCCTTCCAGCTCTTCATCTCGGAAAAGGAAACAGTTGTGACTGTCCTAAAGCCAGTCTTGGAAAAACTCCTGCACTAGTACTAAACCAATGTAAACAATCCTGTCTGTGGTATTGTACTAGTTTGGTCTGCTAGGCTGCACTAGATGTGCTTTCTGGTACACTACACCACAGTAAGACCTTGAACCATGTTTTGTGGGACAGGACTGCATGTGGTGTCCAAGCAGGTTGGCTTGTCTACCTGTAGTCTGATTGTCTTGTCCTGCTCAGTGCTGAAGTACCCTCAGGAGGACTGTGGTTCTGTCTGGCATACACAGAACACCAGCAGAAAATGATGAAAATAAGCAAGGACTGAAAACTGGACTGTTAGCTGCCAGAAGGAAGTTGCTCTGGGAATGTGGTGGGTTGGTTTTAAATGTGGCACTCCCTTACTATCCAGTGTGACCTCAGTTCAACACCTAGTATTTCATTCTTGGGATTTTTTTTTAAAGGAAAAGTGGAGCAGTGACCATTCTAAGATCCTCTTATTAGAAAGGCAGGGAGCAGAATCTAATGGGGCTTGGCAGGAAGAATTGCTTCTCTTCCAACTCTTCCTGTTCCTTCAAAAAGGTGGAAATGACCAGAGCTGGTGTGGCTTGAACCAAGTAATCTTCCTCTCTTGTTTCTTCAAAACAATACTGTCCTGCCTTCTAGACAACAGACAGATGTTCTGGCACTCTGGGTGCTGCTTGATTTGTTTTTTTTTTCTTAGCATCTTGTATGAATCATTTAGAAGTGTATTAGACACCAGGGGCACTTCTCAAATAGGGTGTTTTGTTTCATCAGTGTTAAATGCATTTTGCAGGGCTGGGGGAGGACTGAGGGCAAATCAAGGCTAAACATTCCTCCTTGCTATGGTACAGCTATATGTAACTTTTGGCCTAGTCAGAACCAGTTACTGGGAACAGTTAACACTTGCTTTTGTGAGAAGTGGGAAGTACTCCTGGCTACCATCTAATCCCTTATGCATTATAGGCAGTGTTGCTCTGTAATCTTTGCCTGTCCTGTGGCAAAGGGGTCTCTTCTCTCTTGATCTCATTGTGTTGGAGAGCTCCCTCAGCCAGCAGCAGGCTATCTGTAGTGGTGAGGTGGCAGCAGCAGCCTTGCATCTGGTATTGGAAGCTTCTGTGTTGGTGGGGCTTTATACAGAGGTTACTTAACAGCTGGTAAACATTGAGCTCTGGGGTTTCTGCCTTCTCAAACCAAACATTCCTCCCAGAGGGTGAGGCAGGGTTGGCTCACTTGTCTAGCTGCTGTCCCCTCTGAAGAAGCATGTTTTGTGGCTCTGCTTCCTTTCAGGCTTCAAGAGCACTGCCAATCATGTGTTGTGTTGAAAGTCTCCCATCCAACCAAGCAGTTTTCACTGTCACCACTCATTTGCACCTTGGCAATCAGCCTCTCATTTGACATTAATTTATTTGTTGTCTGTATTCATGTCTCTAATGTGTATGATTTTATTTTTGTTTGTTACAAGAAAATAAAATCCTTGTGAATGGAGGTCCTTGGTGTGTGTTAGCACTGGCAGAGCATCTGTGGAAATGTGGATCTGCTCAGTGAGTGTGGGGTTAAGGTTCTGTCTAATAAGGCTCTGGCAGCACTTGCAGTAGGGTAAAATGTTTGCTCTGTAGAACTCCCTTTTGACAGGGAGACTAGGTTTAAAGCTCGACTCGGTCCTGTCTTAGGGCTTGTGCGGATGAAACTAAACATGAAATCTTCATGTTTCCTTGAGCTATTCAAATGGTGATTCTTCATGTTCCTGAGATTGCTTCTCTTGCAGCTTGTGTGCTGTGTTTGCACCTGTACTGTGGAGGGGGGCACAGGTGTGGGAGCCAGGCTGGTATTTGTCTAGAGGTGCCCAGCTCCCAGTGGTGTGGCCATCTCTGCTTTGCCTGCCTCTGAAAAATTCTGGTTTGAGTGCGGTTGCGGCATTTGTAGTTGCCAAAGTACTGCTGATAGAGCAGTACTTGTTCTCCTGGGCTGGGGGTGTCTCAGCTGAACACTGGTGGTTTTTGTGCTCCTGGAGTGTTAGCAGAACTAAAAGTGATGAAATAGATCCTGAAGCACCCATGTACTCTGGTACAGGCTGCTGCTGCAGGCCTTGGTTGCACAGGCTGATCTCATAGTTTAGTTTGGAAAAGCTGGGGTTAAAGTGTGGTGTCTTGGTGTGATATTCTACTCTGTCGTCGTTCTTGGGGTTATGTCCAACATACCAGAAAATAACATCCATAACTGGTCCTCTTGCTGGAATGCAGCTGCTTTTCTAGTCTAATGATAGAGATCTAATCCAGTTAAAAGGACCTAACTGGAAAATATACCTGGATGAGCATATCATGCAGGAAGAGCAGCTTTCTAGAGCAGGGAGTAGGTGGAGTTTGCACTGTTGGGAACGCTTCTGGCTACTACTCCCAAAACAGACTTCACTTTTCCCTGGATGGCTTATCCCTGGATTAGAGGGGCAATGTCATGCAGGCAAGTGGTTTGTTCTACATCTGGCAGTTGGGAAGAGGCTTCCTAAAGAACAAGGAGCAAACCTGTGAGCCCCAGGTCAGACCCTTCCAAAGTGTTCTGGGCTAACTGAAACCAGGCTTCTGGATGAGGCCTCACTGTGCAGCAGTAACATCAGGACTACTCCATTCCTGGCCATGACTGTGCTGCTCAATGCTTGTAGGCTCTGGTCTCCTGATTAGGACCCTGCTAAGGGTTGCCTACCACAGGGACAGATAAAGGGGTAGTGGGCAGCTACAGGAGCCTTTCTCCCACTCTCAGCCTCTGTTGCTTCTGAACTGTCTGAGATTTTCCATAGAAATGCCTAATTGCTCTCTGATCTCAGCTGTGGTTTGATTTGATGGCAGTGTATTTGAATTGAATATTCATCATAATACACATGCCTGCCGGCACTGCAGACACTTCAGTGCATTCTGGAAGAGGTGCAGCTTTTTCAGCTGATGCTGCTAGCCAGTCCTCCCTCTTGACAGGCTAATCACCTTAGGCAAAGTAATGTAGATGTATTTGATTTGGAACAGAACTGTTCCTCTCCTGAGGACTGACCAGCATGGCTGGGGGATCTCTGCACTGTGAGCGCCCTCACTGCAGCCCACACCTGCTCTTTTTTCCTCAGTTATTATTACCTTTTCCTAAATATCGAATGGGTATTTTGGCATTTTGCTTGCTGTGCGAACTGTTGTCAGTTTATGGCTGCAATAGTCTAATGCTATCCCAAGATACAGCTGACAGAGCTCTGCACTTCCTTTGGGCAGGGCTGGCACCAAGATGGAGTCTCAGCAAATATGAAAATAATTTATTTTTCAGAAGTGTACAAAGTGCCTTGTAAAACTGTAGGATGAAGCAAGTTTGAAAGGAAATTCTGAGACCATGTGAACCAGACATTTTTCCAAAGAAATGTGTAAACAAACCCCCATGACATATGACACTTGAGACCGCAGCATGAGATGGGGGTTTTGGTGGGGTTTTACAGAGGAAACATGAAGCTCTCTGTCCCCCCTGCTGCAGTGGTTGTCTCCATCAGGTAGCAGTGACAACGAGGAACAACTCCTGAAATATGGATAACTTCTCTGTGATCTGCAGGGGAAAAGGCTGCCCCAGGACCTGCTGCATTCGGCTGATGAAGTCCTCTATCTTAAGTTGAATGTCCACATGGCTGATGTCATCACTGTCCTGGAGCTTGGGCTTGGCTTTCTGAATGATCAAGTCCATCCGGTCGATGAGTGAGCTCCGCAAGTGGTCTGCAAGAGGAAATGCTGGTGGGGAGAAGCAACACACAGTGGGCTGCCTGACCTGTTCAGGGACAGATCGCAGTGTGCCACAGGCAGCGCTGCGCTGTGGTGAGGAGCGGTTGGGAACTGTGCTGATCCTCTTATGGTTATCCTTGATGCTTCTGCACAAGACTAGCCTGGTGGAAGACGGAACTGTCCCCTCCTGGAGCTCAGTCTGCATGTGGAGAGAACCCAAGAAATGGGGAGGGGGCAGGGCTTGTAGCATCCTTTTCTCCTATGCTAGTGGCAGACTGGACAGCTGTCCAGCTGCAAAGGAGAGTCCCCAAAGAGTTTAACAGTAGTGATTGTCTGGAGCTTCAGGGAGAGTAAGACTCTATGCACATGCGATGGTGGGTTCCTCTGCATTTTCCATGACAGTCTTAACCCTGGGCTAAAACAGCTGAAGTTGGGAAAAGGACTTGAGGAATTTTTTGGTAAAATAAGTTTAGGGAGTTTTAGGGAGTGTTTTATGACTGTGCTGCTCTCCTGGGGTCAGAAATGCTGCTCCTTCCATGGCTATTGTGGGTGATGCTCCCTGCCCAGTCTAAGTGCTGAGTGTGCGCTGGCTTTACCATCCCTTTGCCTTCTGCTTTTCCTCTTAAGTCACCCTATTCTTCCACCCACTGTGTGTGCAGCTTAGACAATAGTGAGTACAAAGCACCCTGTTGTGTTCTTCCTAGTGCTGGGATTAATCCTTTAGGAAGTAGGCTGTTTCTTAGGGGCTAAACTTGGCAAAGCAAACTGGGTGCTCTGCTTGATGCAACATCACTTCTTTGCTCTGGCTGCTGGGAATAGTTACTAGCATGGAAGGAGGCACATTATCGTTCTAAGACTCAGTGGCTGTGAGTTCAAGAGTGATGAGAAGAGAGGAGGAAGGGTACTTTGGCTGTTCCACTGCAGCTTTTTGATAAGCTCATGTTTATTAAGGCCAGAACAGGCTGCTTACCCAGTATTACATTTTGGTAACTCATCAGCAGCAAACTCAAGTACTGCAGCATCTCATCCCATCTTTGCCATGTTGGTGTTTCATCCTATGACAGGAGACAGTATTTGGTTATTAGAAGAGGTTTTTTCAAGAGAAAACAAGGCAAAGGAGAGGTTGGACTGGATACCTGGTATTGCAGCAGCACAGAGGAGTGATTCAGGAAATACAGGATCTTGGCCAGAGACAAGGGCAAGGTTGTGGGCATGTCACAACTGTGTTGGAACAACAGCTCTAGCAGTTTGCAGCGCAGGAGCTGGCTCTCCATGGTGTTTAAGAAAGCTTCCCTGGAAGACAAAGGTATTTACTCTAGGGGAGACAGCATAGACTGACCAGGGACAACTGCTCTAGCATGTTCCTGGTGTCTTGCTGGTGCTGATCTGGTGCAGGGGCTGCCCAGCAGTGTAGTGAAAGGAAAACCACCAGATGTGAGAGACACCTTTGTTATGCAGCTTGGCCAAGGATATGTTTATGTCCTTAGGTCTGACCTGTGGCAATTTGAGGTTGCTACGGTCTGCAAAGCAAGCTTATCTGCTTCACTTCACCCTGCCCTTCAGCCTGTGTGGAAGTTACCCATTCCTGCTGACTCACAAGGAGCACAGCGAACCAAGTGTGAAGTGGGGTCAGTGGCCAGCCAGATCTAGGAGATCTGTCCTGGGAGAAGTGATAGCTTGGTTAGAGTCAGTTTGGCTTGATCAGACCCAGTGTGCACTCAAGAGTTCTGCTAAAAGGGTCTGAAAGGGCTGCCTGGTGGGGCTGGCAAACATGGGTTTGAAATGTCTGTGGGTCTAGTGGTCTTGTGCCTATGCTACAGCCACTTAGGCCCTTGTGCTTTGGCTTGAGATACTGCATTTCCTGGAGAAGCAAACAAAAGGATGGCAAGGCAAAGCTGTAGGAACTGCATTGTGTTTCTGATGAGCTACCCAGTTGCACCTGGGAATCAGTGAAGTTTGCCAGTAGTTGACTGTGCTGATGCAGAGTGCTGCATTTCAGACCTTCTTTACAGTTTTAAGGTCCTGCAACTTTAACAAGTGGGAGAATCCACTGTTCTCAGCAACACAGCAGCTGGGTAGATGCATTCAGCTGGTGATGTATCTCCATGGGAGATACAGTCATGGTCTTGCTGGCTGGGTCATAAATGAGCTTGTCTTTCTATACTCTGTGGTACTTTATGCATCCAGACTTGGATGTAAATTGGGAATAAGACTATTGCTCACACAGGCAGATGCTGCCTTGCACATGTTTCTCTCACCTTTGGCTCCTCAGGGGAATATTCAGTATAAATGGGAATATCACATCTGCGATCTTACAGGAGCTGCAGTTGGGAGATTTGTCCACTTCCACTGCGATGGACAACATCCGCTGGAGCAGGAGCACCACCCTAGGTTAGAGACACAGTCAACATGAGGAAACACTACCCCTGGGCTTGCAAAGTAAAGCAGGGGGGATGGCACCTAGTTCAGCCTCATGCCTTGCAGTGAGGGACATGGGGGAACGTAGCAGGCTAGATTTGGTGTCTCTTGGTGGCTTTTGAATCTGATGCTCTTGGAAGCAGAGCTTAATCTCCAGATGGGCCCTTGGGAGGTCTTGGTTGCTGTACTGCGTATTGGTGGAGCAGCCAGGGTAGCCTGAGCTGTGGGCCAAGAGCTCCAAGCCTTATGCTACATGCAAGAGGAGGATGCTTATTGAGCCAATTTCCTACCAGGTGAGGAAGTCTCTTGCTCACCAGGTCTATGTCTGCCCCAAAGGAGAATCAGCAAAACTGGTCACAGGTACAGCCTGGCTTCCTTGACCTGACAGGGAGAGACTCTGGCTTCTCCTGGACGTGGGCTGCATGATAATGCCAGGGCTTTTGATGCTTACTTCTGGGCAAAGAAAGCTGGTGGAGCCACCTCTGCCTGGTCAGTGCTGGCCAGCTGTAGCGCAGATGAACTGTGTTCAGCCCTTGCTTCTGCTGAAGAGGATGTAGTTTCTTGCGGCTGCTCCTGGGGCTGGGAGAACCCAACTCCTGTAACTGCTGCGACCAACCATTCGACCACTTCCCTGGTGGGGAAGAAACAGGAACTTTAATGGGGATGGGCCTGGTTTTGCTGCATTCTGACCTCTAGATCAACTTGGAGCTTGAGGAAAGGCCCTGGGGATGAAGAATATGTCCCACTTGCTTGGACAGGTTAGGGAGTAGCTCTGTTGAGCAGCAGATTTATATGCTTGTCAACAGGACTGCCTCCTCAGTCCTATTCTGAGCAATGCAAACCTGACCCGATTCCTGGGAAAAGCCTGCTAGGTTGCAGCTGGAAAAGCCTTGCATCATCTCTGGTGGCTTGCTTTTGTAAACCTGCTCCTGTTCTTTATACTTGGGCCCTACACTTCCCTCTGTCTCCCAAGCTTGTTTCCTGGAAAGTGGAAGTCTGACCTGGAGTTTCAACAAGTGTTCCTTGAGCCCCTGCCTCTCAACATCTGGTTAGATAACAAGGAGGAGGAGGTGTCCCTTACTTGACATTGTTGAAGCACGTGTCACACGAAAGCACTTTCTTGGCAATCGACTTCTGCAGCAGGCGCAACCTCAGGTTCTGCTGGAAGTCATCCTCCAGGGTCTGCACCACGTACTGCAGGAAGAGGAGCCGGCCAGGGGGCTTCTCCTGAGGGCAGATGGAGGTGGTATGAGCCTGGCAGAGCTGCACGGCAAGCAGCACCAGGGAATTTGGCTGTCTTGGGAATAGGCTGAGGTACATGACTAAGGAGTAGCTCCAGGAGGGGCTGCCTGGTTCAGGCAATGCCCTAGGGGCATTGCTGGACCTGTTCTACCATTGCGCTAGGGCTGTGACCCACAGAGGCTTTATCTGTTGCTGTGCCCTCTTCAGATGAGACAACCTGCCTACAGCTGTGCAGCAGGTTAGGGAGCACTGTGGATAAATGCGAGATACCCAACTGGCACTTGCTGCCCTCAGCAGCTGCAATAAAACAAAACATGTTGGACTGGCCCATTCTGCAGCAGAGCACGGCCATGCGAAGCCCTGGGGCAATGCTTACCCTCAGGCACTGCGTACTGGATGATCCCTGCCCGATGTGAGATACGCGGTGCCAAGTACCTGGTCCTCCATGATGTATTTCAGCAGCGTCCAGTCCCATCCCACTGTGGCGGTGTTGGCTGGATGGAGCCTGCAAGGACAGCACTGTCTATTTGTGCTGAACTGCCCGACTGTCTGGAGGCACAGCAGCCTCTGGCCCTTCCCCAGCCCCACTTACTCAGGGGTCTGCCCTGCCTTTTCCTCTCCAGCTTTGCCCTCTCCCTTTCTCCTCCCCTGACCACGTTCATTTTTTGGAAGAACCTGACTGGGGCTTTACTCTGTGGAGAGGCCCAGGACTCCTGGGCCTGTGGCCTCACAAAACATTGTGCCTCTGCGGGAACCCTGAGAGCAGCAGGGGAACTGCTTCAGCCACCTCCAGCCCAGGGAAGGTGTTTCTGCCATGTCACAGCTGTGAAGAATGAGATCTGTGCTTCAGGAGCAAGGCAAACACACTCCTCTGTCCTAGAGAGCTCCCGTGTCACAGGTTGTCCCTGACCCACCCTCAGACAGCCCTGGGTGTGCCTGTGCTGACAACAGGAGGCAGGGGCAGGAGGATCATCCTGGGTTATAAGGGGAAATTGCTCTCTGTTCTGTGAGTGAGGACCATGGAGAATAACCTTTACGCTGGGCAGGCCTCCGGGAGCACCTAGCCAGCCCTAAGGCACAGTGGCAAAGGGAACACGTACATTTGGATCTTCATCAGCAGCATGTAGGTGTCCTTCAGGATCTCCCCTTGCTGGGGATTCAACAGGATCTGTCTGATCAGGTGGGAGATGATTTCTTTGGGGGGATAGTGCTGGCGGGAGACGAACTCGCTCAGGAAATGCAAGGTGCCCTCTTGGAAGTTCTCCTCCATGGTGGTGCGCACCATGCTCAGCTTCCCGCTGGGAATAAGCTCAGGTTTCTGCTGCATACAAGGCAAGACAATGGGTGTAAGCCAGCTCCCCTGACACAGAGGAACCCAGCTGTGATGTGGGGCCCACCATGAAGGGAACTGCAATAACTAGAGATCCCAACTGCCTGGCAAAACTTCCCCCAAAAGGGGAAGTGGAGCAGGGGCAGCCCTGCTCCATCCTCTATCACAGGGGCTGCTCTGAGCAGGCTCCGACTGGGCTTGGCAGTGGCTGTTCTGAACCCCGTTTACCTGCTGTGTTTCCCTGTTGGGTGCTACGCCTTGGAGGAAGAGGTGCTGAACTCCGCTTCTCCTGAAATAGTGCAGTTTGTTCAGCCAGGCCTTGTTGTCAGCCTTGGTCCTGGTTGGGTTCATTTGCTGGACTGCTTTGTGTGGCAGTACGTTGCCTGCTTCCAGCAAAGGCCCTCGGGCCTTCCCTGGGGTTGTGGGGATGGCTGGGGCAGAGCTCTGCCTCAGGGGGAGCTCCCTTTGCTGGCAGAGGTGGGGAGTCTCTTCCTCTGGGCCACTGGCTCTCCAGCTGCTGCTGCTGTCCAGGCTGGAAGGGGACAGGGACAGCAGGTCTGAGTCCAGCTGCATGCTGGCCAGGGAGCCCAAGTCACTGTTAAAAGTGGTAGTGCTGCAGTTCTGCTCTGGGCTGCAGGAGGAGCTGTGGCAGCTGGAGGCAGGAGAGAAGCAGCTGCAGTTCTCTGCATTTTCTGCTGTGTCTGTGGTGGCACTGGGCTCTGCGGGAGCACCATGCCAGGGTGCTGCAGGGCTTGGTCCTGCCATTGACTCCGTTTCTTGCTTTGTGGTGAAGCAGACCTGGGGATGGGATGTGTGTGCTGCTGGGGCAGCAGGCACCTGCCCAGGGTCCTGGTCAGCCCAGCTGGTGGTGTGGGGAGGGCTGCATGTGTCCTCTGTCAGGTCAATGATGGTGAAGCTGCTCCACGGTGCTGGGTCTGTGCTCGTGTCCTCACAGGTCAGATCGATGATCTCCTGCGGGGACAGAGGGGCCAGTGCTGTCAGTGACGGTGGCACCTGGGTGCCTTGGTCCTCCCCTGCCAGGGACCTCTGCTATGTTGGCACTGTTGCCCCAGCCCAAGGGGGAAAAGGGGCTCACTGGCACCAGCTCAGGAAGAGAAACCAGGGGCAAAGACCCCACTGCCTGGCTGAAGGGATGGGGCAGTCTGCAGGGTAGTGGCCCCAAGCTCTGGTGTCAGTGTCCCCCAGCAGCATGACTGAGCCCAAGCCTGACCTGGGCTCTTCTTCCCTGTTCCTGGCAGAGACAAACACCCCACTCCCCCTAGGGCTCCTTATGGCAAACGGCCGTGTCCTCTGCTCCAAACACATCTCACCTTGGCCCAGAGTGGGCCTGGCCTGCCCAGCTCCCTCCTGGCATGGGGTAATACCAGCCCTGCTGCGGTGCCTGGGGAGGGCAAGGGGAGTGCAGCAAGTGCTCCTGTCCCCCATCCCAGGGGCTCCTGCCCGGTGCTGGCAGGAGCAGCGCAGGATCCAAACCTCGGCACCCCCCCCACCTTGCGGCACGACCTCACCCGCTACGTGGACACGAGCGGCAGGGAACAGAGCTACTTTCACATTCATGGCACCAAGCCAGAGCTACAGCAGCCCCGAGACTTTGGGGACTCCCATCCAGGACTCGCCAGGTGATGCAGCACCCGGAGCTCCAAGGACGCACCTGTCCGAGGGGCAGCAGGAGCAGGCAGGGGAAGGCAGCTGTGTCTGCACCGCTGGCAGGCAGGACACGGCGCTTCTCAGGATCTCGATGTGCCCGGGAGGGGTCAGAGACTGTTTACTCTTGGAAAAAAAAAACCCTCAGCGTCTCAAAGCAGGAAAATGGTTTGTGGACAGTTTAAATCCATTTTTTTTTTTTTCCCCTGACTCAGACCTGCTGCCTCTCCCAAGGAGAGGCCGCATGTAGCCTGGGGAGGCGGCAAAACCCAGCAGGCCTCGCCTGCTCGGGAAGCCGCTGGAGCCGAGGAGGGCCAGGGCTTGCCCCGGCTCCAGCCGGCCCCGCCGCACCGGACGCTGTGGAACTCCCGGCGTTTGAAAACTGCACCGGAACCGGGGCCAACGGTGCCGGGGGGGGGGGGGGGTGGGTGGGACAAACCATTCCCCCCCCCGCCCCGGGGCTGTGCCTCGCCGGTGGCCTCCTGCCCTGAACGGCCGCATCCCTTGAGGGATGTGGCTGGGGCCAGGACTATCCTGTGAGGGACGTGACCGAGGGGAACCGGGCTCCCCGGGAAAACACGGCCGGGGCTCCGGGCCGGCTGCGCGCCGCCACGGCCCTCGAGGCTTTCTGTCCCCGCGCGGCTCCCGTCTCCGCCCGCGCTCTGCGGCCGCGGCGGAAGCGCCGCCATCTTTGTGAGGGGCAGGCGGCGCCGCGCCCGGC